GGGGGGGGGTAAAGCGATTACAACCGTTGCACTCAGGATACCACCACTTGGGGACCTAGTGGCAGAGTACAACGGTTTAAAGGGCTTTGCAACGGTTAGGGATGGAAGGCAGATGTTCTACGTGTGAACGCCGGTAAGTACACCGATTGCAACCGGCACCTATACCGTTGCAAATGCCGCATCTGAACGCACCCAAAAGGTAATAAATCTCCCTGGGATGCAACCACAGAAAAGGCCCTCTCTGTCCAGCAGCTGCCCGCTTAAGCTCTGAAAGTGGGGAACCCAGAGAAGGAAGATTTGCAGGAAAAGATTTTAATTCCCATGTAGAACTGAGTCCTAAATCTACAGAATTATAGCAGACTTCCTAAGTAAAATATTTACAGCTAGATTCTTTTCCTATGGGACCATTATTTCTCAAAAATATTGTCAGGATGTGATACAAAGACCCATACTGACAGAGTGAGATACTTAACTTCTGTATTCTTCAATGTAACAAGCAGAATTTCTGAAACTTTTGGACATGGCATACTTGACAAAACTTAGAAGCCTTTCTAGAGAGTGCTCAGTTTCCAAACTTATTATCACCACTAATATTTTCAAAAGGTTCTGAAAACAAGGCCTGGGCATGTTCAATTCTTGCAGGTTCTCTGCACACATTGTTACATCCCCCCCCTCCTTCCTCTCCCAGAATCTCTCCTTCTTCCCAGATTGAGATCAGAAACTCCTTGGGGTGCAACCTACCTCTTTTATGTCACTGTACAGTGCGATATATACTGATGGTACTAAACAATGATGTTAATGATAAGTCTTTCTTTACCTCTCTTATGGAACACTTCAACATTATTAATCTCCTGGTTGAAAATTTAATTTTTTCTTTATTGGATTTAGATGCTGCCAGATTTCATGAAACATACATATCCTCTTGGAGAGGCAGAAAGAAGAATAAGCAGGCAAGCCCCGTTTCATTGTAAATCCCAAAAGAAATGTCCTGGCTGTTTCCGTAGCAACTGCATTGCCTTTCCTTAATAAAGTTTGCACTTGAGTTAGCATCTATATAGCTACTTTTGTTTTATGGATGGAGAAGAATATTAAATATGTTCATCTCTGAAATGAAAGCTATATGTATGGGAAAGCCTAAGATTTTATTTTTTTTTAATCTAGACTGAGCTTTTTAAAGAATGCTATTGCTTTGGACATTTAAGTGCAACCGTAACCAGAGTTACAACAGTCCAAATTCATTTAAGTCAATGGATTCTCACTGGAGGGAGTTTTCATAGGAATGCACTATTAGTGTATAATTCCATTTTTTTATTTTTGTGTGTATGTTGAAAACAGCCCATTTCTTTAAGAATGCTACACACATTCATAGATATTACGTGGTACATTTTTAGTGTTTTGTGGAAGTACAGGATTCACTCAGATGCAACTAGTTTTTCCACTGTTTTTCCATCAAAAGGTTCATCCTACAGTCACATATAAATTACAGTTATGTTGAATAATAAATTTTGCACATTTAAAAAGAGTCATTTTACATTCAGGGTTGTCTTCCTTTTGTATGAACACAGTACTATTACTCTGATAACTGCTTTTCAATGTGGCATCCCTGGCACTATCCTATGAGTCTAATCAACTCTTCTATCAACTCATAAGTAACCTTATACACATATAATACTGGATATCATAATATTGGCCTATTTTACAGGGCTTTATTAAGGATTACTGTGATAATTTATATGAAATACTTTGAACACTGAAAGCATTCTGTGAATACTATATATTATAACTTCAGGACAGAATGTCCAAATTATAGAGGTTAAGACGCTGAGCTGCAGACTGGAAGGTCTGTAGTTAGCAGTTCAAGACCCTAGTGCCAGATGACGGAGTGAGCTCCCGTCTCTGGCCCCAGTTCCTGCCAACCTAGCAGTTCGAAAGACGAAATGGCAAGTAGATAAATAGGTACCACTTCAGTGGGAAGGTAACAGCGTTCTGTGTGCCTCGGTGTTTAGTCATGCTGGCCACATGACCATGCAAACATCTTTGAACAGCGCTGGCTCTTTGGCTTGGAAATGGAGATGAGCACTGCCCCCTAGAGTTGGATTCCACTGGCTTTCGAGCGACGGAAACCTTTACTAACCTTTTTCCATTCAGCAGGCTTAAAAGAGGGCTTATCCTAATGAGCAGTAAAACCTTCTCTTCAAATTCATTTTAGTATTTCACAAATACCAATTCAGCAATATCAGTCCAGCACTGACCAACATTAATAGAAGACGGTAGATTTGCAACAGGGTCAGCGTCATTAGTTGTTGTTTTTAAATAACAAAAGAGGAATTTCAATTCTGGAGACGATGAACCCATAAAGACCTTTGAGGACTGGGACTCACACATCTAAAGCAATATTTTCCCCATACCTGCCTATGGCCAGTTACACTCCTCCTAGTTAGCAGTTCCTTCTGAAGATTCCTTCTCATAGAAAGGTTAAATCAACATGTCATGATTTGGGCATTTCCTGCAAATGGTCTTATGCCCTGGAATGAGTTATCATGAAAGGTTAGAAGTGTGCATTCTTTACTGGTTTTCAGAAAAGGGTGTTTGGGAGAAGGTTTTGGTGAACTTTTCATGTTACTGATTTTATTTGATCTGGATTGTTTTAATAATGGATGTTGCTGGAATTGTGTTTGCTCTACAGCAGTTTTATGCAAATTATCCTGAGCCCTTTGCAGAAAGGCAGTTATAAATATTTCAATACTTTAAAGTAACCCTTTAAACTCTCCTTATATATAATTGAGTAGTGAGGTGGCACTTTCTGAATATTCCACACGCTCCTAAATCAGTTGGCTCCATGATGTGTCACTATCCACTGGCTGCGTTGCCTGAGTCCCACCTCCAACATTCCAAAAAGTTTGCTGTTCCTCTCCCCCCCATAGCCAATGGGAACACAGAGGTCGTTTGCATATGCGGCCTGATTGGCCTTTGCCTCTAACATTCTAAACAGTTTGCTGTTGCTGTTGGGAGTAACTGAATGTGTCCTGAGGTAAAACACATATCCCAATCTTCCCTTAAATGGTCACTGGAGTTGCCAGTCTCCCTGTGGGGCCGGGAGATCTCCCAGAAATCACCATGTTCCCAAGCCACAGCACATCATTTCCCCTACAGAAAATTTCCCAGCTATTACAATGGCTGCTTTGGGCAGTGGACTTTATGGCATTATACCCTGCTGAGGTCCCTCCGCACCCCACACCCTGTCTTCTCCAGGCTCTGCCCCTCAAATCTACAGGTATTTCCCAACCCAGAGTTGGCAATCATGTAACTGGCTATGGAACCACTTTCCAGACCCTTGGGACCCAAAAAACATGGCATAGGAGGAGGTGCTTTTTTACCTTAGCTGCTACTGCATAGCCCCAAATTAACATAAGCCAACCTTCAGGCAGCACCTGGAGATCTCCAGCTATTAAAACTGATGTCCAGATGACCAAGATCAGTTCTCCTGGAGACAATGGCTGCTTTGGCCAGTGGACTCTATGGCATTATACCCTGCTGAGGTCCCTCCCCACCCCAAACCCTGCCCTCCACAGGCTGTACCCCTCAAATCTACAGGTGTTTCCCAACCCAGAGTTGGCAACCCTATAACTGGCTATGGAACCACTTTCCAGACCCTCGAACCCAGAAGACATGGCATAGGAGGAGGTGGTTTTCTACCTTAGCTGCCACTGCATAACCACAAATTAACATAAGTCATGGGTGGAGGGAACCACACCTGTTACCATGAAGCTGTCCTCCCATACTACCCACCTGGGGCAGCAAAATGACTTGAGACAGCCCTGCCTTGTAGCCAAACAGAAGGAAATAAACATGACTTGCCTCCCTTTATTTTCCCCTTCCCTCTGCCACCCCACCAGTCACAGCCGGGACACTCACCTTGAGCTTCCTTCTAGAGCTCGTTGTATTTCTTCCCACAAAGGGCCTTACTCTTAGTTAAATAATAAATACAATGCTCATAACAGAAATGGCAACTGGAAAAAAATTAGATATCTTGTAGAAACAACCCTGTAAAACTCAATAGAAGCAAAGAGATCAACAGCATCTTAATCAAATAAACAACAAAACTGTCAGGAAGTATCTCCTCCACACAGATGTTCAATAAAATGTGACAGTGCAATTCTAAACAGATGTTTAGGATGGCATTGTGAGCATAACAGAAGTATCCCTGTATGCTTCTATCCAACAAAGTCATGGACATGGCAAGATAGTGATCATTCACTGCTTGTTAACATAAATGACATTCAACAAAAGAGCTAGTAAGCTTTTCTTACCCTGATGAAAAGGATCTTCTCCCCCACTCTGTATCTTCCTTGTGAAAGACGCTCCACACAAAATTTACTAGGGCATTTACAAGGAGGATCTTCTGAAATATGTTTGACCTAAAAAAGGGGGTCCAAACCAATAAAATTACCACCTGTATGTATATCAATTTAATGGAGTTTTTCCTATCCTTCACAGAAGTACATACATCATCAGTACATGCCTGATTACATCAGTATGCATCTTACCACTCCACTCAGGAAAGCTGTCCTCCAGTGTAACTGGCCTTTTTCTCTGGTGGAAAAGCCACTTAACTTGAAAATAGGCTACTTAGGCTGAAGGAAGGCATCATCCTTCACTGAACAGAGAGGTAGAACATAAGAACATAAGAGACGCCAGTGTTGGATCAGGCCAAACAGTAGGATACATGCCAGTGTTATTATGACATCCAACTTCATTATTTAAGCAGTTATTTTATGAATTGTTCTTCTGTGGATCATTCCAAGCAAAGAAACCGTCATGACTTTGGACTCCCATTTCTGTGTGACTGCCTTCATTTATTTACGCCCACAAAATGGCTCCAATCACAAGGCAGTGAGAAGGTCTGTGTGACATGAGAGGTCAGTGAGAACTGTTACTGCTTGGAGCCATACTTTGGTAGTGGCTGGACCTGTACTGTGGAGTGGGCTTGCTAAGGCGGTGAGGAAGGCCTCAAGACTACACAGATTTTGGAGGCTCTGTAAAGAATCTTCTGATGCAGTGTTAGTGGCTCATTAGTGGAGGCTTTGGTTTGCTTCCTTTTACTTACATTTTTGCAAGATTATATTTTAAATGATGTAAACTGGCTTGAATCCCATTGATAGGGAATAAATAAACTAAACAGAAGCCTCATTCAGCATACTCATTCAACTTCTAACCCTCTACAATCCTGTTTATCAGGTCTCTACTTCTCTCCTTCCATCTCCTAAATTCCTACTTGTCCCATGCAACCATATCTACTCTGAGATGACTGGGAATGCAGAATAGGGGCTTCAGGAGTCATTACTATCCATGAAAAGCACTTATGACTGGTAGGCAAATGGTAAACTCCATATCCCTCCCTTTGGGGACTCAAATACCCCCTGCCTATTGATAGCATTCTGGAGACTGGTTAAGACAGTTCTTTTCAGGAAGGCTGGGAGAAGGGAATAAAATGAATAATCTCCATAGAGTTGATTTTTTTGTACAAATTATTATTTATTTTTAAAACCCACTGATACTATTGTTTTTATTGCCTTGATCTAGATGGCTCAGGCTAGCCCAATCTCATCAGATCTTGAAAGCTAAATAGGGAAACCCCTGGTTAGTACTTGGAGGGGAGATCACCAAAGAAGTCCAGGATTGTTGTCGAAGGCTTTCACGGCCAGAGTTCATTAGTTGTTGTAGATTTTCTGAGCTGTATGGCCGTGGTCTTGGCATTGTAGGACCTGACATTTCGCCAGCAGCTGTGACTGGCATCCTCAGAAGTATAACACAGAAAGATGGAGTACTCTCTGCTATACTGAAACAGGCAACGGCAAACCACCTCTATTTGTTTCTTGCCTTGAAAATCCTAAGGGGTTGCCATGGACCAGCTGTGGCTGTTTAAATCAAGTCACTGTCCCTTATACATTATGCACTAGCACACTGGGCATTCATGGAATAGAAGAATGCCACAGTGATGAGCTAATAATGAAAATGTGAAGGCTGGCAAGTCAATTTAAACAAGAAGCTAGGCAAACAGAACTAATCTCACCAAAGTGCTGTTCATTTGACCACCTTTATTTTTTAAATTGGCTCTAATTCTAAAGAACATAAAGGAGGCTGTGGAAGAATATGAAATAAGTGAAATCTGATCATAAACCCAGCCAGGCTTGCAAAGCTGTGGGTAGAATGAAAGCTGCCAGTTACAGAATCCATCAGTGCTTACATTATTCTTTTGTTTTATTGTTCCTGCCATGGGCGTCCTTTGATACACCCAGCCCAGTACTGGGTTAAGGTCTACGATTTTGGGAATCACTGATAGGTAAGACAAGTTGAATTGCATTAATATATAGTGTATTTTGAACGTGTCAGAGATCTGAAAGGAGCACAGACATCACTGCCAAAGAGCAGATCTGGTTGAATGAACTCTAATTTGACATTCAGGCACTGCTACTGTTAGGGAAAAAATGCAACACTGACAAGGGCATGAAGATGATAATTTCTGCACAATGTAGTTCTGAAAAAGGAAACTTGACCTAATATGTTGATGTCAATGGAAAACAAAATGCAAGGAACCCTTTCTAAAGATTTCATCCACTTCAGCTAATACTCTGGAGATCTTTGAATGTTTAACAATCTAGTTCATAAAGTAAAGGCCTGTGCAGAGAGACTGCAAGTGGAGTAAATATATTTTAATAATAAACATTAATCTACATTTGACTTTTATACTTCCTTAGAAAAAATGCAAATATAAGAGCCTTGCTTGATCAGACTGAAGACTCATCTATCTCAGCATCTTATTTTTGCTCCCAAAAATGGGAATGCCTACAATCAAGGAATGAAGGAAAAAATAGATCATGTTCTGATGCCTGGTTATCTGTTTTAGTTTATTGACAATCAATAAGAGATTTCCAGCACAAAAAAATATAAGACAATCCTCCCCTTTATGTTTAAAGAAATATGATTCTCAGATTCTCAGCATGGCTTCAGTTCCCGAACTCCATTTGGGGAGCCAAAGTCTGTTTTGTTGGATATGTGTATACATTGTATTAAATGATAATAAATGTTGTTTCCTAGCAGAACTGAGCTCCACTGAATTATGTCATTCATGACCTGCCAAGCTTTAATTAATCCAGGGTTCTGGAAATATCATTATGTTATAGGATTGCCAGCGGTCTCTTGCTATAGTGGTCAACCTCCCATTAAACCCTGTTTGTTGCCTGCTGGAGCTTGATGCATTGGCATGAGAAAATGGGAGAACAGGGATGCATGCTTGCACAGCAGAAGTGATGTCACTTCTGGTGAAAACTGCATGTGATGTCATGTGATGCTCCAGAGTTCACTAAAACGTCATAGTTTTACCTAGGATGACCCATGATATCACTTCCTGTTTTCACTGGTAGCAATGCCAATGAACCATTCCCCACTCCCTAAATGCTCTTGGGGGTTGCTGGCTACAGCCTAGTAATACTATTAAGTTGCTTTACTGGGATGATATATGTTTAAAAGGAGGCAAGTCCAGTAGGCTCTTCTTCTTCCTCCTCTTCTTCTGAGAAAGAAAATAATGGACCCTACAAGTGTTTCTATCAGAGAGAAGAAATTGATGTCACTTCTGGTGAAAACTGCATGTGATGTCATGTGATGCTCCAGAGTTGGCTAGAACTTCATAGTTTTACCTAGGATGTCCCATGATGATATCACTTCCTGTTTTCACTGGAAGCAATGCCAATGAACCATTCCCCACTCCTTAAATGCTCTTAGAGGTTGCTGGCTACAGCCCAGTAATACTATTATGTTGCTTTACTGGGATGATATATGTTTTAAAAGAGGCATCTCCAGTAGGCTCTTCTTCTTCCTCCTCTTCCTCTGACAAAGAAAATAACGGACCCGACAAGTGTTTCTATCAGAGAGACTTAGAAGAAATGAGTTGTTCAGACACCATTTTTAACTGTATGACTAAGCTCCCTTCCAGAGTTCAGCTGGACCAGTGCTGCAGTGTGTGTTCCTCTCCTCCATCCTACAAGTACCCTCCAGTACTACAGAGCACAATCCAATGGAGCCCCAACCCTATGAATTCTGAACTTGAACAAACTGGGCAACAATTATGTGAGTTAAGCTTCTGCACAATCAGCCTTTCAAATGGAAATACTGGAGCTGATCTGTAGTGCTCTCCACCCAGCTTGGCGAAAAGTTGGGAGGCAGGCATGGGTGGTAAGTTGGGGGGGGCAGTCCTGAAGTACCCCGCTGTAGCTACGGGCTTGTCTGTACTCCAGAAGAAAAATATTAATGCAGGATTGAGATGAATGTAGCTGATGATTCCTGAGGAATTCTTAAACCTATTGTGACAGACAAGTTAGGTTCTGCCTCTTCGTCAAAGCAGCCAATGGGAGCTGATGAAATGTTAGTTAGAGAGGCAGTTGAAAACAGCAGTTAAGAGAATGGATGAGTGCAGTTATGGAACTGAGAGAGTGTCTAGCTGAGTGAAGGTGTGGTGAAAATCAGCTTAAAGCTGACTAAAGAGCCAGTGTGTAACAAAAGATCCCAAATGCTAGAACAGGGAAACGGTTCAAAAGTGCAATTGAAAAGAAATGTAGCCTCTACATGTGTTTAAGTGTTTATATTCAAACTATAAATAAGAGTTAACTCCTTGTTTGTTTAACCCTGTGGGCTGATTGTCCCAGAGAAAGAAACACACACACAAGCTAAGAACTCGGAGATAGATAGATGGATAGATGGATAGATGGATAGAGGATGGATAGATGGATAGAGGATGGATAAATGGATAGATGGATGATAGACGACAGATGGACGGACGGACGGACGGACGGATGATAGGCAGGCAGGCAGATCTGGATATGAATAAATTGATAATTGGTGGCAGTGTGTGAATGGACTGGTATATGAGTCTCCAACTCCAATAACTGTGCAGTGTCTAAGTGAGGGGTGATTATTAAAGGTGACTGGGCTATTCTGTCTGTTGATGTCTCTGTGAGTGAGAAAGATAACCTGGGATGTGAAATGGTCATGGCTGTCTATACATTTTAAAAGAGGCAAGGAGGGTAGTGATATGTCACAGCCTGACCTACCTGCAACCCAGAATGTGTGGGATAGACACTAGGGGGGGGGAGTAGGCACTTTTTGTGAGTGAAAAAGGTGTGGCATACTCATATACTGAACTTCCATCTCAGAACAGCAGCAGACAACAATCTCACTAATATAAACGAAAAAGAAATGAATACCTCCACACTGATCTTGTCAGTGCTGCTTCTCAGAAGCAATACCTGTGATGGGGGGGGGGATCTAAGCATTTTCTAGGTAAGGATCAGGCCCATAGCTACAGTTGGGCATTTGGGGGCCTGGCCCCCTGACTTCCCACCAAGACCCCCTGACTTCCATCTACCCCAGCCACCCTTGTGCCCTCACCACCCCTTCCCCAAGTGTGGCTTGCTTCCTCACCCCATCACTGTTACTGCATTGAGTCCTCCATGGATGAGTGGCTGGCTGCCTGCTCCAACTGCTCCTACCTGCTCCAACTCGCAAGCATGAGTTTTAAAATTTTTATTTTAATTTTACTTCTAATTTTTGTGACGTCAGTGCCCCCCGACTTATTTAATGGCCCCCTGAATGACAAAATCCTGGCTACGGGCCTGGTAAGTATTGAGTCCTATTTGTGTCTGGACCATGTGAAAATTGATGTTAGCTTACATTCAATGAGCTAAAGGATGGGGAAGGTCAGGCATCTCTCTGAATGAATTTAATCTTTGTTCTTTCACTGCTAGTCAGTGAATTAAAGGAGGTTATCAAGTCATCCTTCATATTCTTTTTGCCCCTTTCCCTTGCCCCTGGGAAATATGATCACTTTTCCTTTGCAACCTATAAACTTCTCCTCTGTCTTTTTTTGACAGCTTAGTTGACAGAGTTTGAAAAGTTAGGGATACAGCAAGGAAAAAAACGTTACGCCTAACCCAGTTTGCATTTCAATAAATTATATTTCATGTGCACTATTAAATACACTAAATTCCATCTGTTCACTGTAGCTCAAGAGTGGCAAGGGGGTTTTCAAGGAGTGCTTTGTAACTCCCAGGTGGCACATCTACCATGTGGTAAAGGAGTTGCCATAGTAACAGGTTCTTTTTTGTAGAATATATTTTACTTCATTTTGTTGTTTAACCATTTAGTTGCTCAGGATAGTGTTTTTTTAAAAAAAGTGAACTGCATGCAGAAGGTTCCAGGTTTAATCTGATTTCTGTAATTAAAAACATCTCGGGTAACAAGGCAAGAAAAGCCTTGGAGAGTCTTTGTAAGTCAGTGGTCCAGAAGTCTGATTTCCTCTAAAGGAAATTATACAATTAAATTGTGAATAAGACCTTATTACGTTCTGGAAAGCTGCTGCCATGCCTAGTGCACAATTATAGGTGAACATTTAGCATGACACAATTCATGGCAGTTTCATGTGTTCAGACTCCACCACAATTCTCAAAGCTGACACCAAATAAAGCAGTCAAGCCACAGGCATTTTATTCATAAATTTATTTACTTACTTCATTTATATTCCACTTTTCTTCCCAGTGGGCTTCCAACATTCTCCCCTACTGCATTTTATCCTCACAACAATCTTGTGAGGTAGTTTAGGCTGAGAGTGTGTGACTGGATCAATGTCACCTAGCAAACTTCCATGGAGGAGTGGGAGTTTGAACCTGGGTCTCCCAGTGCCATTCTGACATTCTAACTACTACATTACACTGGCTTGTTGCTTATTTGATTGCCATCCTGACTTTCGATTCTTGTGCTAATGTGTTCCCCTAGCTCTTTTTCTATGAAACGACCCCTGAATACAGTTATGGTCAAGTGACATGAGGAGATGGCATGAGTGCCAGGAATCTGAAGGCCTTCCTTGGGCAAGACAAACTCAGTGCCTTGTGAATGACACAATTATGTGTATAGGGCTGCTCATGCATACCTGGCACACTCCTTTCAATGTACTTGTTTTATTTATGCATGTGTCTTCACGTCATATGATATCTGTATACCAGGCTTGCCGGTCCCCAGGTCAGGGCAGGGGTCCCCCTGGTTTTCAGGGCTCTAGCCTGCCACTGGCTAGCTGGTATACTGGTACTCCATTCAGGGAGAAAGATGAGCAAAACGAACCAGCATTCAACTCAGAGAAGAATTATCTAACTTGGGGTTGGAGTTAGGGTTGGGGTTGTAAATTCAGTGGATGTCCAGATAATGCACACACTCTACTGAACAGAGAGTGGCTGGTTATACCCTTTTGGGGTGTGACAGAGTTGCTCCTAGAACAACGCTTGTGTTAGAACCAAAACAATGTGTCTTGGGCAAGGAAGCGTCACTAGGGTTGCCAAATGTATTTTACCTGGTGGCGGGGGACTCCTGGACGGCGATCCTGAGCGCGCACGCGCATGAAGCGCGCACGCGCCGCGTGCATATCAGCCGGATGTGACGTGTGACGCTGGGCATGCTGGGGGCGGGGCCATAGCCATTTGAGGGGAAAACTCTATGTTTTCCCCTCAAATGGCTGTGGCCCCCGCCCCCAGCGTGCCCACACGTCACATCTGGCTGACGTGGACACCGGGGTGGGGTTTCCCCCGGGGCCCGATTCCATGGCGTTGTAAATCGGGCCTCCAAAGCGGGGGGAAATCCGCCCCCCGGGGGGATTTGGCAGCCCTAAGCGTCACAGCATTCCCAGGGCTTACAAATGTTATGTAACATTCATGTGAAATTCCCATGTGAAAATATCTATTGTGTTTTGGGTGATCTCTAATTGCTAGGACAGCAAATCATTACAAAGGGTTGTTATGGGATTAAAATGGTTTTGACTATAAACTCACACGGGATAACCAGATAAGGGTAGGCAAGGTGGGGCAATGGGTTACTTTTACTGCCCCTTCTGAGAAATCAATCCTTGACACTGATGGATTTAAAGAGGGTAGAGAACTGCCAAAAACCAGACCTTTGTACCTTTAGGATTAGTTTTCCCTGGAAAGCCTCTGGCCAATAGTTGATGGCACACATTTCACCTGACCATAGGACCTATTGATCATATTTGTAGACTAGGGAAGAGTCTTGAGTGAGTGACCCTGTGAGATGCTGAGAAAGAAAGATGCCTGTATCACCTTTTCCAAGATACCAAGCTTATCCTTCCAAGGAAGGAGAGAGTTGAGGCCTAACACATGGCAACCCTAATCTATACTGAAGCAGGTCCCACACTCACAGTACTATATGAAAAGGATCTGAGCAGCTCACACGGGGTTCCCTTTGGCTTCTCATCCAGATTCTTTCCCACTTAACTTCACTTGTTGTAGCAGCTAGAGGTGTGAAGGCCCATAAAAAACTGAATTCCCCCACACTTTTCCAAGGCCTTTTTTTTAAAAAAAAAAAACCATTGAAATTTTGGGGAGTACTGAAAAAAACTCCTAGGAAACTTTTTTTTTTTTAATCATGAGTGCAATGCTTATAATGACAAGGTGTATATACTGTAGAAATTTACAGCTCTTAAAGCCAATATGCATTTCTGCACCTAGAAGGATACCTAATCTTCATGAAGGGAACATATAGGGCTTTCATTGTTTCTGTTACATGCTTTTTGTAGTCCTCTTCCTCACACCACTAAGACACATATATGCACAGCCTGGGTGATAAATAGCTTATTTCTCTACCTTGCTGGAGGGGGGAAAAGAAACTATACCAAAGCCTCTGAGGAAAACTCTGAAAGTTACATTGAATACCGAGCTGTTTCTAACCCGTAGCCAGAGAAGGCAGAAGAAAGCATCTAGCTGGACCTAAGGTACATTTGCTAGGGTAGCATAGGGTGCATCGACTTGCAGTTTTCTTTGAAGTACTGAGTATATTTGCAATATTGCTTGTAGAAAATTAAGAGATTTATTACTTTTAATTCCATAAGCATGTCAAATACTGAAACCCCCAAACCCAGAAAAAAAACATTTTCCCCTCTGTGTAGGGATACCAGTCCCCAGGTGCCAGTGGGGGTTCCCCCAATTTTTAGGGCTCTACCATGATGCCCATCAGCTGGCTGGCGGGGGAGCCCCACCTCCAACAGTCCTCTGTAGCCCCACTTGAAAAAGCAGGCAGCACATGTGCCTGTCTTGCAAGCAGGAGGGGGCCGCCGGCTCCTGCCTTGCAAAAGGCAATTTTCCCTCTTGCAAGGCAGGAGCACTCGGCACCCACTCTTCCCACTCTCGTACAAATCTGAAAAATGTAAACATTGACTAACCTTACGCAAAATTACAAAAAGTGTTACTTTTCTACAATTATGTTGGGCATCAAATTTAACTTTCTTAGCACAAAACTCAAATTTGCTTGGCAGAGAATTTGAATTCTGGGCACTAACTATAAATAAGCCTAACTAGCAAAGCATTGAAATCATATAAGCACTAATATTTCACTCCCTGACAGATGCAGTCATCTGTCTTCTTGATCTGTGGATCTTGCGCCAAAAGGATGATGGTTAATCCTGTGAAGCACAACATCATAACAATATGAGAGGTGCCACTGAAATAGATGTCAAAATATTACCCCTTGAGGTCTCCCTTACCGCATCATCCAGGAGTTTCCCTGTACTCTTCTTTCCAGGTGACTTTGATGGAGAAGGTGAAGGAGATGGAAGAGGAGTTGAAAGTGTTTCTTCTTGTTCAATCTCTTTCTCCAGCTTTATTAATCCAGGAGGCTCCACACCAAACCTTTTGAAAGCATAAAGTTACCAGCGTTTACAAAGTAGTTCATGAACATATACATAGATGTCCCACCAAGTTAATAATTAGAGTTAAATTTCCTCATATGCCAAAATCAACAACAAAAATACTCGGCAAGATTATATGAACTGCGAGCAGAAGGCTCACACGGTGGTAGATCTTTCCCTGCCTTTTCTATTCTTCAGCAGCCATGAGAGATAAGGGATTGAAGAGAGGAGGGTCAGTTGAGCAAAATCAACAACAGCTTCTGCTGCTGATGGAGGAAGCACAGCTAAGTATGCTTTTGTTTGGTGCATGAAGAAGAAACTGTGATTTTGCCTTATCCACTGCAGCTTCCCTTGTGGCATGTGATCCAGAAGATGCTTCAGGGCTCACGGTGGGCTGCTTGGAGAAGAATCCATTTTGATAAACACAATTAATCCAGGCCAAACTCCAGGGCCTGGAGTTTGCCTAGAATTGCAACTGATCTCCAAATTAGTGTGCAGTCCCCCTGGAGAAAATGGCAGCCTCAGAGAGCATACTCTATGATATACTTGGTGAAATCTCTCCCCAAAGTGCCTCCTCCACAGGCACCAGCCCCAAATCTCCAGGAATTTCCCAACCTGGAGTTGGCAACACTAGAATCCAGCCTGCTACTTGTGTTCAGTGCTTTATATAACACTAATAAAACCAAGTATAAATTATTTTCCAATACAGCAGAGTCTTGGAGCAAACTCATAGCTCTAATGTAGATATCATAGCATATAGCAGCATTAGTACTCAGAAGTATGATTATGACCCTCACATTTTATTTACAAAGCAGCTACAATTACTAGGTTCTATAAAATGTTTTTTTTTTAAATAAAACAAAAACTCAAACCTCCCCAGAGGCTCACAATCTAAAAAATCACTGATGTTATAAGAAGGGAAAGAAAGTGGATAGGCAGGGAAAGGGGAGAAGATGGTAACAAAATGAAATACAGAAGAATGGATTTTGAATCAAAGCCTTTCCAGCTGGAACGACCCAGGACGGCATTTCAGCAGTTACAAGCCCAGGAGTGGGCATATGTGGTGGACAACCACAGCAGCCCTCAGTCGGGCCAGGAGGAGCAGGAAACAGCATGTGCCACCAACAGCGAGAAGGCAGGGTAAGTTGGTGGGGGTGTAGGGGGTGTGGGCTTGTTTCAGGTGGGGTTGGTGGGAGCCCAGAGTCAAGCCAGGGAAGGCCCTGCAAGGAGCAGGGAGGCATTAAATGCCTCCCTGTGCCTTCCCTGGCTCCCCGGTCTTCCCTGGCCCACCACTGAAGTGGGCAAGTCGGGGAAGGCCTGGAGAGAACCCCTCCAGCCTTCCCTGGCCCGCCCGCCTTGGCGGGTGAGCTGGGGAAAGCCCTGCAAGGAGTGGGGAGGCATTTAAATGTCTCCCCGTGCCTTCCGCAGTCTGCCTGCGAAGTGGGTGAGTTGGGGAAGGCCTGGAGAGAACCCCTCCAGCCTTCCCTGGCCCGCCCGCCTTGGCGGGTGAGCTGGGGAAAGCCCTGCAAGGAGTGGGGAGGCATTTAAATGTCTCCCCGTGCCTTCCGCAGTCTGCCTGCGAAGTGGGTGAGTTGGGGAAGGCCTGGAGATAGGCCCACCTGCCACCTTCCCTGGCCCCCTTCTGTCAGGCAGAAGCGCCAGAGATCCCCCCCCCCTTTTCCTTCACCCCACTTGGAGGCGAAGGGAAGAGAGAGGGGGAAAGGAAGAGAATTCAGGTGCTTCTGCCTGTCAGAGGGGCTGGCATGCTGGCACCTCTGTCAGGCAGAAGCGCCTGAGATCCTTCCTTTGCCCCGCTTGGAGGTGAAGGGAAGGGAGATGTCAGGGTGTGTGGTGTATGCAAATAAGTTATGCTAATGAGTTATGCTAATGAGCTCCTGCACCTCTTTTTCTACTAAATGACCCCTGATCAAAGCCAGAGTTCATTAAAGGAAATGCAATACAAAACAAGCAGGTTTTTAAAATGCTTTTTAAATTAAGAAAGGGATGAGGGAAGACAATTCCAAGCACAGGGAGGACAAAACAAATGACTGTAGATAAGACAATGTGGAGGAATCATAAGGCCTAATCAGAAGATTAGACTGAGCATAAAGCATGAGAGAGAGCACATAAGAAGAAATCAAGGACATGATGACGCAAAATCATGAAGTGCCTTCTTCAAGGTAAGAAATTTATAATGAATGCTGACATGAAAAGATAGGCAGTGAAGGGGAAAAAACAGAGATGTGGTGCATAATCAGAATAAAAACAAAAGAAAGCAAAATGAACTGGGGGACTGAGGACCTGGGTAAGAGAAGACAGATAAGAAGTTGGGTGATTAACAGAAGAAGAAGAGGAGGAGATTGGATTTATAGCCCGCCCTTCACTTGGCGTCTCAGAGCTGCTTACAAACACCTTTCTCTTCCCCTCCCCACAACAGATACCCTGTGAGGTAGGTGGGGCTGAGAGAGCTCTGGCAGAAACTGCTCTTTCCAAGAACAGCTCTGACAAAACTATGGCTTGCCCAAAGTCATCCAGCAGCTGCAAGTGGAAGAGTGGGGAATCAAACCTGGTTCTCTCAGATTAGAGTCCACGCATTTAACCACATCACCATACTGGAAATAAAACTTTAAGATCAGGAAAATACAACTTTAACTAGGTGCCGTCTTCTTGCTGATTTCTTAGAATTGTTTCCAGTTTTTAATCCAGTTACATTTCTGCAAAAATAAACCAGTTAGCACATGCCAGTGAATAATAGTTAGCCCTTTGCCAAGTAGAGGTAACTATTATTTTTCAGGTAACCCGTGAAAACCTGCAGCACCACTACCAAAGTATCTGGGAAATGAAGAAAGGGGAGAAAATAGATTATGAGGGGGAAGCTTCTTATTCCACATGCAGGAGCTCTTAACAGGATAATGAAGATGAGGAAAACTCAATACCTTGCAATACCTTCTGTAACCAATAGCACCCTCAATGACACTATAATAGAAGATAGATGAGAAAAAGATAACCCTTACTGATCTGTTTCTTATTTTATACAAGTATTTATTAGACGCCTTTCTCCCTTGTGGAACTCAAGGTAGTTTATAATATAACTAAAATGATTATAAAACAGTATGAAAAAATTATAAAGACACATATAAGGTCAAAATTTAAAAACTGCAATTAGGACTGCCAATAAATAAAAACTAAATCAAAAATGGAGTCATAAATAAAACTGTCTTCAACTGCCTCTTGAAGACTGACAGTGAGGGGGCCATGTGCACCTCCCTTTGAAGACAGTTCCATAATCACAGGGCTGCCACCAAAAAGGCTCTCTCTCATGTGCCCACCAGACAAGCTTCTTTGATTGGGGGGACATTCAGGAGGACCTCTCCCTGTAGTCTTCATTCTTGGACAGAAACATATGGGAGAAGACACTTCTTCAGATAACCTGGTCCCAAGCTATGCAGGGCTTTAAAAGACAAACCAACACCTTTGAATAGGGCTTGGGACAAATCAGTAGCCGGTGTAATTGCTGTTGGTATCAGGGTCACACTTCTCCTGGTCGCCAGCCCCAACCAGCAGTTTAGCTGCAGCACTGTACACTAGCTGCAACTTCTGAACACTCTTCAAGGGGAGCCCCAAGTAGAGCACATTGCAATCGTCCAGTCTAGATATAATGATGGCAAGGAGCACTGTGGCTAGTAGAGCACACTGCAATAGTCCAGTCTAGATATAATCATGGCAAGGAGCACTGTGGCTATATCTGACTCAACCAAGAATGGGCAAACCTGATGCACCAGCTTAAGCTGGGCAAAAGCACTCTAAGCCACTGCTGCCAACTGGTTTTCTAAGGTGACTGCTGTGTCAAGCAGTACTCCCAAACTGCAAACCTGGTTTTTCAAAGGAAGTATAACCCCATCCAAGACAGGAGAGATCTCAAGTCCCTGGTCTGCCTTTCTACGAACCCAGAGAATCTCTGTCTTGTCAAGATTAAGTTTCATCTTGTTCACCCTCATCTAGCCCTTTACTGACTCCAAGCACTGGTTCAGAACATCAACAGCATCCTTGGAAGAAGTAGGATCACATTACCCTTGTCTAGTTCTCAATAGAGGTCATTACTCAAGGTGACCAAAACAGTCTCTGTTCCAATTCCTGGCTTGAAATCAGATTGAAGTGGTTGTTGTTGTTGTTGTTAATTTAGATGTCATTACTCAAGGTGACCAAAACAGTCTCTGTTCCGATTCCTGGCTTGAAATCAGATTGAAGTTGTTGTGGTTGTTATTAATTTGATTTCTATCCCACCCTCCTTGCCGAGGTGGGCTCAGGGCAGTTTACAAACAATTCAAAAGTACAATTCATAAATACAGTAAAACACAATAAAACCTCTCATCGACTTATAAATTACTTAAAATAACAATCAATTAAATCGGTTTAGAAAATCAATCTCTTCCAAGATTCTCTGGAGCTGAGAAACAACAATCCACTCCTATGACAAAAGGGCTTCAGTGGAAATCACCACCACCACCACCACCATCATCTTATATTTGCATTTCATTCTTCTTTCATGTCAACAGCAGCATCTTCAATCATCCATGAGGTAAATTAAACTGCATCAGCTCTTTTTTAGTTCCAGGAATCCAGGCCACCCAGATAATGAAAGTATATGCACTGTTGTGAAATATAGGAACACAAATATACAGTGGAGTGTTTTGTTATGTAAATATTTTGTGTTTTATTTCTGTGATTTATATGTATTTTGCTGTGGGTTAAAATGAAGGCCTCTAGTAAGAAAGGAAGAAATGTAGTAAGAAAGAGGGATGCTGTATGGTGACTGAAATGTGTGATGGTTGGGTGGTAGCTGTAATCTAGGGGGCAGAGTTGACTGGTTTGTAGACAGAGAATGCATTGAGTGAGAGTGGAAGGAAGTTGAATAGGTAAAGAGTTTGCAGAAATCTGTGTTCTTTGTGGAAGGTATTAGCCTAAGTGGCAAGTGTGGCTTTCCTCCCCTTGGTTAATGGT